CTGAGCATTCTGTCTCTGTGCTCCCTCAAAATGAATGACTTTCCTGACATGTGAAATGTGTTTCCTTGTGCCTATTAATTTATTTATCTTGAGTCTACCTTATTGATCAGTAGTTCTCAGCCTTTGCTACACATCAGAATCACCTGGAGAACTTAAAAAACCCAGTTCTCTGGTAACATCCCATACCAATTAAAGTAGAATCTCAGGATGTGGTATCTAATTATCAATGTTTTAAAGCTCTTCAGGTGAACCCGATGTTGAGAACCACCCCAGATTCATTTTGTGACATGCCGTACCTTTACAGTGATGGTGTTTTAGGCTAAAATGAAATTTGCAAGCTCTCCCTGTCTCCCCCGCATGACTTTCAGATAAATTTCCTACTCCATTATGGACTTACAAGTTCAACGTTTATTTGTGTTTCATCATCTACTAGACCATTCAGCACCCTAAATCTCCTCTGAAATAATTAGATTTGCTTATAATACTCCAGTGTGGTACCTACAGATGTAGCCTAGGTTTTGGGGCTAGTGCACCTCTCTAGAGGCTCAGTTAAGGGACAGAAGGGCTTGGCAGGACTCTCGAATCTGTCTAATGATCTCTCCTGAAGACCCTGACCTGCCTAACCTGAGGATGCTGGCCCCTGGTAAAACATCATCTTCAGCAAGAAGCAACAATCAAGCCTTGGAAGGACCATAGACCAATGTCTATGGTCTCCTAGACATTGCCATACTGTTCCCAGTCCTGTGTGCTACTCTTTTCATACAGGACCTTGTTGAAGTCAAAATAATCCAATGCTGTGTATACCCGCTTTCCAGCTCATGGTGTCTCACCCTGCTTGGCTGCTGGTGGGCCCTACTGCAGTCTCCTCTGGTCAAAATGAAGCATCATTCATTCCTTCAATGTCTCTAACATGACTTAATTCCCTTTACTTTTTGCATGTAATGCAGTCAGTTTAACTCCTATTTAGAATATAGAAGCAAGAACTGAAGGTACTTCAGTTACAGCCTAAGTAGTATATTCATCGAGGAGACCATAGCTATGGTCTGTCAATACCTGTGTATGTTTGCATAGTTGGCCACAATTTAAAAATCCTCAAATCTCACTTTTACATAGGTTTTCTATAGAAAGAACAATATTCATTCAAATATGCTGTGGTCTCCCAGCCACATTCAGATAAGGCTGCCAGAGACTGCTTTCACAGTGAAAGACACATGGATGATCACACATCAGGGTTTGAGAACTTGCCTCTATTCTACCTAGGAAACCATAGCTCCAAAAAATTAACTCAATCTGTAGATGGAAAATGATAACCAGAGGGGCAATTGCTTCACTCCTAATATACTTCATTTGAATCTCATAACAACCATATCCAGTGACTTTCCTGAAACCAGTAAGTGGCTGATCTGGAACTAGAATCTAGTTCTTCCAATTATAAGTCCCATGGTCTTCCCTACAGAGGCCAACTGCCAACCTTCTAAAGCTAAAGACATCTAAATGAGAAAAATGGGAAGATGCTGGAGAAATTGGTCATGCTTATTTTTCCAGGCAGAGAAAAAGGCTGAATGGCAAAGAGATTTTTTTTCTAGCCTCCTATGTAAACTGGAGGTCAGGTGGTAGGGAACAGGGGTTGTTAAGTTACCTTTAAAAATGGCCCCATCTCAAAAGTCCTCAAATGCTGTAATCAACTTAACAGGCTCTCTAGAATCTGAAACAAGAGTCCAGTTTGGTACCCACTGAGAGAATGTCCATCTTTATCCAATGATCACCTTCAACATTCCCAGTGATGGGGAGTTTATTGCATCCCTTAACCACTATCATGTTCAGATCCCATAGATATTAAGTGTTTTCTTACGTTGGGCTTAAACATGCTTTCTCCCACATTATAGATAGTGTTACAGACTCAGAGACATAATAATCTTAATCAGGTATTACATGAATATTGCTCATGGAAAGTTATTTTCTTGCAGAACATTTACATTAATTTGTAAACATATATTTGTCTAATGCTTGTATCCCTTCTAGATCATAAATTCTAAGAAGAGTGGATGATATTGACTGCTTTTGTTTGTTATCACTAGATATCCCATACTAGCACAGGGTCAAATACATAGCAGATGCTTAATAAATATTTTAATTAGATGAATAAATAACTGAATGAATATAGAGTATCTGAGGTTTCGGTGGTTACATCCTGTTATCTTTCCTTTTTCTCATAACCTGTCCTAAATCTCTTTAGCTATTTCTCAAAGGGTCTGACTCTAGAATTCCACACCACAGAAGTCCTCATGTCAGAGTGACCAATGGATTAGTCCAGTGTAATATGAATCAGCATTGTGATTAGCTTACAACAAATCTGTAGTTTTTTCTAACACTATTTAGCAGAAATAATAACTTTCTCATCTGTAACTTTGTAATATTTCACACAGACTTTTTCTATTTTATTAAAATTACATGTTTACCTCCTTCCTGTCAGATTTTGAGCTCTTTTAGGAGCGGATTTGTACCTGGTTCATCCTGACCTTCCCAACACATGAAATGATTCTGACACAAAGATATGCTCAAAAAATCATTAATTAATAAAATATGAATATACTACTTAGGCTCTAACTGAAGTACCTTTAGTTCTTGCTTCTATATTCTAAATAAGAGTTAAACTGTCTGCATTACATGCAAAAAGTAAAGGGAACGAAGTCACATTAAGGACGTTGAAGGAATGAATGATGCTTCATTTTGACCAGAGGAGACTGCAGTAGAGACGGGTTGGGATCAGTGTGACAGGTGCTGAGCCATATATGGAGGTCACAGGGTGACAGTCTGGGGTTCATGTAAGAAACATTTTTTCTAAAATCACAATGAAATAATAAGCTTCTGGGCAGTGAAGGTGTTCATGCAAAGACTGAATAATTCTTCCTGCAAGTTGTGGAAAGAGAATGTCAGCATCTGCTGCATCGGGGTTAATGGACTTTAAACTCTCTTTCTGCTCACAGGCCTAAGGTTCCAGACTGGCAAGGTCTCTCCTATTCAGTGACAGAATCCCATGCCTGTGGATCTGTGTGGGACAGAAGAGAGGCAAGTTCTCAACTCCTTCTGTGTGATCATCCATGTGTCTTTCACTGCTAAAGCAGTCACCAGCAGGTTTATCTGAAAGTGGCTGGGAGATCACAAGGGTATTTGAATGAATATTGTTCTTTTTATAGAAAATCTAAGTAAAAGTGAGATTCAAGGATTTTTAAATTGAGGCCAACTATGCGAACATACACAGGTATTGATAGAGATTCACCCAAAGATTCAGAGACATGATAAGAGAATTTGAGAGAACCACACAGAAGCACAAACAGAATCATAGATAGAAAAATACTGATGGTATACATAACTCAAAGATTCAAACTGATCAAACTCACCTGAGAGAGCTTTGTGACATGAGAGCTGGACCAGAGGCAGAGGACCAGAGCTCACAATGGCTTCAGAATGGGCCTCAGGTGGGCACTAGCCAAGGGAGGAGGCTTACTTTATGTCTCTGTGGGAGAGTTCCCAGATGCCAGGACCCCTGGGGTCCTGTTTTGCCTGAGTGTGATGCTGTGCTGGGGATGGGGAAAGCAGAGGGGTTAGACCTTACCTTGGGAATAAAAGGAAAAAGCAAACAAAGAAACAAGAAGCCACTTCAGCTGGAGATACTGTCTTCTCTCCACTGAGAAAATGAAATTTCAACTCCTTTTTTATGATGAAGAAGTTGGAGACAAATACTCCAAACTTCATAGCAACACTCCTACAGCTATCCAGTCTCAAAACTGGTACTCGGTGCCCAGAACCCAGAGTCTAGATCCCTGAATTCTGAGCTTAAAACTCGGACCTCAGGCAGAACCTAAGCTTACATCTCAGAGACCAGAACTTGAAAGCCAGAGACAACTCCAGGATTTAAGCAATAGAGGATATGACCCGGCTGCCTCAGTTAACTTATTACTACACTTCGCTCCTGAATTCCTGCTCCCAAAGCCTGCCAAGTTCCCACAAGTTCAGGGTCTTCTCCAAAAGAAACATTCCAGGATGCTGAAGGACCATGGGCTCAAATCATACAGACCTAAGTTTAAGTCCTGGCTTTGCCACCTATGAACTTCCTATTTTAGAAGATTAATATTCCTTTAACTTAGAACCCGATTTATAAAAAGGGTAGTACCTATATACAAGGGATTGAGGTTCAAATGGGAAGAAGGAAGTAATAGCTTTGTTTCTTTGAATTTACCACACATGCTGGTTATCATAAGTTCTCTTGCAGGTTTCAATTTCAGGTCTCCCAAAGAGATTCTTTTGCCCAGCACCTGAAATTCCCATTAAATAATCCATTTTACCAGTTGTTCATTTCAGTTTTAGAGTGAAGGTGTATTGAGAGAAGGAACAGCAGGACGGCTCTCTCCCTTTTCTATCAAGTGGTGGGATGGTTCAGGGAGGGAACTCTTCCCCATGAGGGGCACTGAAATTTCAAAGGAACAGTTGCAGAAGAACACCTTCTACTTTGTATTGTTGTTATAGGACTGGCTGGATAGAAAATAATGAGTTGGGAACCAGGAGATGAAATTCAGGAGAAATCATGAATCATGACCTTATAAGTTAGGTCACAGAATCATGGACAAAGGAGAAAACAAATAAATGAGCCTCACATTGGGCATAAATCTCTGGCAAGGAGAGGCAGGGTTCTGAGAAGTCGTGATGTAAAATGACTTTAGCTATGTTATTAGAGGCAGCATGAAGGGCAGCAAGCATTGATCTGGATCCAGGTTTTTCATTCATTTAAACAGTCGTTTGGTTGTTCCCTTAATTCACATGTACTGGTGTGACTGACTCTGTGCTGGGTGCAGAGTTTTAGCTTGAACTGCCATTATCCATTTTTTAGATATTTAAAAGCTTTTTCAAAGCTCAGTTTCTGCTTCCACTAAACGAGGGGCTAAGTCAAGAACAACACTAAAGATTTGTTCACTCTGATAGTGGTAACACCGAACATAACATCTAAATCTCAAGACTGTGTTTATTGTGCTAAACGTCATTTGTGCCAAAATTTTGAAGCTTTTCTCCCCACAATAAAGTTTAAATAAAAAATAAATATATCCTGTGAAGTGGAGTTGAATTTTTAACAATGGGGCAAAGCAAAGATAGATACAATCTGCAGGTAAATGCTTGGTAAACAAAAATACAACCAGATTAAACACATCCCATCTAAAGAGAAAAAAAGTTAATAGACTGCAGAAAAGTGAAAAAAAAAAAACTAATAGACTTGCAGAAAAGTCCCAGAAGACTTCCTGACCAGGAGATTTTTATACAGTGACAAAGTTCTCTTGCCTATCTCACTGAGACAATCAACCCCCACCCCCGCCTCAGTTCTATTTGCCTGAATGAGAGCCCTAAAGTTGCAGTTTGCCTGAATTTTGAATGTCATGGGGTAAGAATTGAGGGAAATGAAGGAAATCACAATATGGGATTATGACTGTGGAGTGGCTGGAGATTGTTTATCAAATTCTCCTCTGCAGCTTTTTCTGTCTTCCACCAGCACTGCCTCATGGAGACATTAGGCTATAAGTCGGCTCTTTTTCCCTTAACCAACAATATCATATGCTTAGTTGTGATGCATTCAGCTTCCCACTTTAAATGTCATTCACAAGTTTACTTTGGCCATCTCTCAAGACCTTGTGCCCAGTGTCCCAGTTGGAAACGTCCCCTTTGTCTAAACAGTTATCTGCAACCAATATTCTAGGTTAAAATTTCTCAACCTTTAATAGGTATGGAAAGAACTTGGAGAATGAATTAAAACACAAACTTCTTGGTCTCACCCCTGATAGTTTTTTGTTCTGGTGGTCTAAGGAAAGTTCTCAGAATTTGCATCCCTAAAAAGTTCCAGTGCAAAGCTGATGACGTTGATCTGGAAATCACATATCAAGAACCACCTTTCCAAACCATCACTCATCATGAGTTTTGTTCTCTTGTTGCACAGCATATTGGCATCAATCTAACACCTGAGTGCTGTTAGAGAAGAGAAACACTGTCCTTCTCAAGCTATAAACACCCAAGTTTCTTATTAAATGCAGTTCTCATTCAGTAGGAGCTTTGTGGGGCATAAGAATCTGTTTCTCCATCAAGCCACCAGAAATGCTAATGATATTGTTTATTGGACCATTCTTGGAATAGTACTATTCTAAACCTTTCTGCCTAAGTCTTTCTTCTCAGGCAATTATGTCTACCAAAATCAGTACCCTTCTTTCTCCCCGACATCCCGAATCAAGAATTCTAACTTCGGCCGGGTGCGGTGGCTCACACCTGGAATCCCAGTATTTTGGGAGGCCAAGGCAGGTGGATGATGAAGTCAAAAGATCGAGACCATCCTGGTCAACATGGTGAAACCCTGTCTCTACTGAAAATACAAAAAATTAGCTGGGCACGGTGGCGCGTGCCTGTAATCCCAGCTACTCAGGAGGCTGAGGCAGGAGAATTGCCTGAACCCAGGAGGCGGAGGTTGCGGTGAGCTGAGATCGTGCCATTGCACTCCAGCCTGGATAACAAGAGAGAAACTCCGTCTCAAAAAAAAAAAAAAAGAATTCTAACTTTTCTCATTTTTCACAAGCTACTTCATAACCACTCAACATAGTCTGTTTTTATGACTACAAACCCAAGTAGATCTCTCTTGCATGCAACAAAAAAACCTCCATATATTTTGTCTCTCTTTAATATTTATCTCCAGCAGCAGCAGAATTATTTTTGCTAAGTTCTGTTTGCCCTGTAGAAATTCCTTTATTCCAGAATATATCAAACAAGCATTTTTCAGGATACCTGTTGCTCTTTTTAATATTTTCTATTCACATGTCTATGTGGTTACTTCACAATATTTCATACTCACCATTATAACATGCTTAGCAACTATACAAGAATTTTCACGTGATAAGTATTGAATAAATGTGCCATTTTATAGTCAAATATTATTTTATTAGTGATACATTCACTGCTATCAAGATCCTGGGTCCTCGTCCTCCTTACTTTAGCATTCCTAAAGTTGTTAACAGGTCCTAATCCTTCCTCCAAACGAGCTCTCTTGGAGCCTTCAGCCTTCCTCAGGCCTGGGGTTTATGGAAGAACTTGAGAATCCCTCTGCGGATCGCCTTGGTTTTCACACTGTAGATGATAGGATTGAGCATGGGTGGTACAAACAGGTAGACATTGGACATCGTGACATGAACAATAGGTGGAGCACTTTTCCAGAAGCGGTGAATCGTGGAGACAGCAATTATGGGTACATAAAAGGCCAGCACTGCACAGATGTGTGACATACAAGTGTTGAGTGCCTTGAGCCGCTGCTCCCGGGATGTGACGGCCAGCACAGCTCTCAGGATCAACGCATAGGAAAGCAGGATGAAAGTTGAGTCCACACCATAGGTGAAAATGACCGCGAAGAGCCCATAAATGTTGTTAACGTGGATGTCTCCACATGCTACTTTCATGAGATCTGGATGGAGGCAGTAGGAGTGGTGCAGAACATTGCCTTTGCAGAAGGGCAGTCGTTTCACCAGAAAAGGGAAAGGGAAGAGAGCGCTGAAACTCCTGGTAAGGATGCCCAGACCCACAGCCAATATACGGTTATGAGTGAGCACAGTGGCATAGCGTAGTGGATCACAAATAGCCACAAAGCGATCCAAGCTCATGGCCAGCAGTATGCCTGACTCTGTGAAAGAGAAAGTGTGGATGAAGAACATCTGAACCAAGCAAGCATTAAAACCAACATGGTTGGAGTTGAAGCAGAAAGTAGAAATCACAGTGGGAAGAGTAGAAAGGGACACTCCCAGATCATTGAGACCAAGCATAGAGAGGAAGTAGTACATTGGCTGATGCAGAGCAGGCTCCCAAAACACCAGAATGAGAATGCCGAGATTACCTACCATGGAGATCATGTAGAGGATGCAGAAAATCAGGGCAATCCAGGTGAGGCCTGTTTGTATCCCAGGAATGCCCGTCAGCTGGAGTGTTGCTGGTTGGAAGGGGGTGCCATTGAGGCCCAGCATGGTGGGAGAACACAGATGGAGAATAGACCCAAGAGGGTGTGTTGTGAGACTTCTTCACTTTCTTTTAGATATCCTGTCTCCAACAAAAGGTCATAGATTGAAAATAATTGCCTATATCCCTGCCTTCCCAGTAAGACACTGATCTCTTTAAGGAAGGAACCAAATTCTAATAGTTTTTGTACCACCAGGGCCCAGCACACTATCTAGGCCGTAGTAGAAACTCTGTGGTTTGATGATCAAATGAGTGCCCATAACACAGCAAGGCATAACAGGAGACAACAGAACAATTGTTCTTGGTAGACCAGAAAGAAGAAATACATCCTAGGCTTCGGAAAGTTTTCAGTAGATAGTATAGATGGAACATCTACTACTATAAATTTATATATTCAATAACCTGGACTCAGATTTCACCCCAGCCTCCGAATCCCAATGGCTGCCCCTGAACTTGTCATAACAAAAAACTTCTATCTCTGAAATCCTAGATTTCCTGTTTTCACGTCCTTAGGAAGCCTTCTACCTTCCAAGCTTCTCCTGCACATGCACTTGTTGGGTCTCCATGACTCCCCCATTTTCTCCTGGCCTATCTATGAACTCTTCTTCCTCACTTTTCTCCTGAACTACCCACCCACACTAAGACTGGTATTTTTACCTCCTCTTTACCTCTCTTTCACATTCACACAGTAAATGCCAACCTTTAATAAATTATATAATCAAATCGGTATGCAGCTGGATAAAATCAAAGAATAAAGTATTTTCTGGGAATGTAAAAGAGAGAATTAGTACTTAACCATTACCAAAATTTTAAACTTGTGCACAGCTTTGTCCTTCTTAACCTCTACTTTCTGAGAAAGAGATTTCCCTCCTTCTCCAAGAACAGGCTCTCCACCTTCAGGATTTCATATCCTGTCACCTCCTTCAGAGCCTTTTTTACTAATCCAGTGGATATTCATTCTCGCTCTTTCTGCCTCTTTTCCTTCAGACAATAAGTGTGTGCAAGACCATTCTATCATAAAGACACAATAACATTCTTCTCTAGCCACTGCTTTATGACCCTTTTCCAATTCTTAACCAAATTTCTTGAAAAATTGTCTCTCCAGGTACCTGGAAATAGGAGGTAGTATTTATTATTATTATTTTTTAGTTATTTGCCTGCTTCTCCAACTTGTTTCTGAGATCTTCAATGTCAGGATTCAGTCTTACTTACTTTACCTTCTAGCACTAATCATTTCACTATATTGTGACTTCCACACTCCCCTTCTCCGAGTTGTAACGAATTTCTCTATGGTCACCAAGTGACCTCTTTGTCTCTGAATCTAATGAAAACATTCTCTCTCCTAATTCACTTGATCTTCCTGCTACAGTTAGCACTGTTTTTAAGTCATCTTTTCACCATTCAAGGGCACTATTTGTCCACAGTTGTGTTTCTTTCTGGGTCTATCCTTCTCTACCATCTTTATTGAATTCTCTTTTCTGTCTTTTGTTTTTTAAGAAGCCTCAGCCTAACTTCAGGCAAAATAAATAATAATCAGAATGATGCAAACTGAGAAGTCACACCATAAGAGACTTCATCTCAACTTTTATTTAAAATAGCTCTTAAATCAAATTTTCATGGTATTTGAGATCTTAAAATTAAAACCCCATAATGGAATTTAAGCATAATGTCTCCTTTATTATTTTTCTCATTTTAGACTTCCCATTTTATTTCTACCACTTCTCATAAACACAGTGAAATTAGATGGTGACAAGGGGCTGGATAATGTCCAGATATCAGTCATAATCCCAAATATATATATAGGTAGTGAAAAGAAATTCATCTGTTCCTTGAGTTTCTCTCTCCTTCCACTAAGAAGGCAAATCATCCATTTAATAAGTAGTATTTTCTCCTCATGGGTTACTCTCCTTGCCAAACCTCTCTTCCTCCAAACCCCAGTATAAAGTCCATGTCTCTAAGAGGTCTTTTTAAATCTAACCTATTCCAATCTGCTTTCTTTTTTTCTTTGATTATCTTTGCTCCAAGATTTTCTTTGAGTCATGAAGAAATAAAAAGACTCTTGGTGGTACCAACAGACACTAAGAACTCATCCACAAGATAGGTTTACCCCACTGTCTGTAACCACTGGCATGCAAATCGAGGTAATCTAGAAGGGAGTATTTTATCTATTTTCCAATTTTTCATCGGTTAACAAACAACTTTGAAAACTTTTCCTCCATGGAGAAAATTCCACACAACCACCTACAAAATAATTTTTTTTTTTTTGTCCACAGGAGTGTTCATCAGAACTTCCTAAATGTGACCTATCTTGAAAGGTCAAGAAGGTGGAGAGACACAAGCAATGCACAGGATATTGTGAGCGCACACACACACACACAGAGTCATTCAAAGGTACCAGGAAAATATACATTTTTACACTCATATTTACACACCCAGGTACTTATAGGCACTATATCACATCCAAACATGCACTATCAAACACTTCCTTACTCACTGGCATTATGCAATATATTTCAAATATCTCCTTATGTTTAAGCCCTCTTGAATAAATGTTTACACACACACACACACACACAGTGTCACAAATGAATCAGCATCAACAAACCCACAGTAATATCTCCACTAATTATTTTCCCATACACACACATATATACTGACATACACAGTACTGAAAATCCAGCTAAGATTGACAACTACATTGTTAAATGACTTCAGTTCATTTGGCTCTGTAATTTTTCTCAAGCTGCACACGAGTAGAGTATAAAAAATAAAAAAATCAAATTGTAGAATTTTAAATAAAAAGCATAAGATATCCTTGAGACAAAAATCTATAAATGATGCAGCAGTCCCTTAACTCAATGGGATGTCATTTGGTATTATGGTGTTGATTCAGATGGAAACTTGGCATCAGAGTCTGTGATCCTGGATTTTGGAAGGGGTCAGATTTGGCTCATATTTAGAAGGGGAGACAAAAGGTTAAGGGCTGCCTGGAATTTTGGTAGAGGTGTTAAAATTTAGAATAAAGTCTAGTTAGAGCTCAGATGGGCAGTGTGAAGCAGGGAGCACTCACTGGATGGAAGATGCTTTCCTTGTAGCTGGATATACTGTGCTGTGGGTCCAGCTGGCAGTGGCATCAGCTCATTCTCCTAAGACTTATAAATTTATGAGCACTCCAGAATTCCAAGGCTTTCTTGAGTGTGGTTGTAGGAGGGACCACAAAAATAATTGGGAGGATGGTATCAGTGAAGAGTGAGTTGGGCCATAAGAGAACTGCTCCCAGAAGAATCTCTTTCTTGACCCAGTCATTCCTGATGTAATCACCCATATCTATTAGTACACTAATCCTTCCTTGATCAGGGAATGTAAACACTGCATACATGTATACGCACAAACATAAATAGCCATAGCTCTCCTGAGACCTTCACAGATATCCCCTTAGAGCCATTTAACTATTTATTTACTAACATTCACACTGCCTCTTTCAAGTTTACACACATACGAACAGATAAACACAAAGATGCTCATGCAATTGCCCAGTGTTCTAGTCACTAATTGTATATATTGACACATTGAGCACACACTACAACCTACATATTCTTACACTGATTATAAAGACCAAATTAAATACTAGACAAAACTTAGAACAAAACTATGAAATAGAGACTTACACATATACTTGAAGACATGATCAAATATATTTCAAATACATTCTCCCACTTACAAAGCTAAAAGTGTATATTTCAAATACATGTTCATATTCTCATTAACAAATAAATAAAATACCCCACAAATTCTGATCTCCACATTTATTCAGATTCATTTGTGGAATTTAAGTGTGTTATGTATTTTTTGTACAAATGCATGGTAGTATTCATATAACAAACTTTTATGCAAACATTTTTTTACTCCATCACTATATGGAACCTAAAAATTATAATCACTTTATTTCAACCAAAACAAAATGAACAAATAAAAACACATTTTTGAGCAATATTTCAGTCTAGATATTATTCTCAGCACTGATGGTATAGAGAACAATAAAGACACAGCACCTACTCTTGCAAAGAAGATAAATATTTAAAAACGAATCCACCTAACAGTCTACGTATACCTCCAAGCTCTATCTAGAAATATGCTATAAACAAGTTTCACAACAAAATCAGTGCATTTATCAGAACTTATCTAATGTGCATGTAAGATTTGCGCAGTACATGTTTGAAAGAAATCAAAGAACTGTACAATATATTGAGCTACAAATAATAATATAACTGCTGAACTATTTGTGAAGAAGTGTATTGATCTTATAACTTACTTTGAAATGCATCCAAAAGGCAAGTTGTATTGATAAATTAGTAGAAAAATAGATACATCAATAGATAAATTAGAACTCATGGGAGGGGAGCATCACACACTGCGGTCAGTAGGGCAGGGCTGGGGAGGTACAGCGGGGGTGGGGAGGGATAATGAAGGGAGAAATACCAGATACGGGTGATGGGGGGATGAAGGCAGCAAACCACCTTGCCATGTATGTACCTATGCAGCAAGCCTGCATGATCTGCATATGTACCCCAGCACCTAAAGTACAATTTAAGAAAAAGAAATCAAGCATAATAAAATATTCCCGGTAAAATTTGTGTCATGAATATACTAGTATTAACTGAAATTTTTTCAAGTTTTCTGTGTTTGAAATTTTTCATAATAAAATATTGGGAAATTTTTAATGAAAAAACGATGAAGCAAGACATAGGCTATTATGTCAAAATACAAACCATGTTCCAAACATCAGTGAAAATTCAAACTAATACATGTTAGCTCCATTTTCTTTAAAGTAACACTGAGCATTTTTTATATCAAGTCAGAATTTAGAATGTTATGGGATAAATTTTATGTATTTGGGATAATTGATAATTTTTTCATATGATTAAAGAAAAAAATTGTATTTTTCAGTTGATGCTTATTTTGCCAAATATTAACTACTTACATTTAACAAATAAACACTCCTTGCCTGCCTATGTCACATTCTAGGGACATCTGTTTCTCCACCAACAGGACTCTCTCTCCAGTGGATGCCAAAGAAACATGCAGAGTCAACTATAATAGTGTGTGTGATCACTGCCTTCATGGCACAACTGAACAGTGCTGTTAAGAAAAGAGGTGTCAATTCTACTTCAGTGAGTAATGTTTTAGAAATACAGGGATATAAATAGTACTTTATAGTGTTCCCGCTGGAAGTAGCTCCCAGAGAAATCTGGTCACCTGGCATTAAGAGAGAAGATCATTTTATACGACAGAATCGCTACTCCCTAGAACTCTAAAATGTCAATCGCTTTCATCTTTCATGAGTTGATGCTTTCCATGGTGCTGATCATGAAAATGAAAGCCCCTGGGAGATTATGTCTCTTGCAATAATAATAATACAATAAGAATGAGGTGAATAAAACATGCTTCTGTTCTGTAACAAGGCTAAGCCTGCTACCCTCAAGTCCACTCCTGACTCTTCTGAGACTCTTCATATCACACACATACAATCATTCTTTGAAGAATATGATGGACAGAGCTGGTTGGAAAGCACTGACAGATGCAAGGTGTCTCTCACTCCACTCTCCTGTCTCAGGCAGAGTCTCTAGTGTGGGGTGCATCTCTTCTACAGTTCCAGCTTCTACTGATTGGGCTCACTTTGGCTTTAGTTCTGGTAACCCTACCTTTGCGTTTCCAGTCTATAGGTGGTAGTAGCTTCCTGCTGTTACAAATCTCTAGACTATATTACTATCTGCTGGTCAGTTCCTCAGTTCTTTTGAAATCTGTATAAATAATTTCCAGGATTAAATGCATTTCATTTTATTGTACTTGTTATTATGCTATCACTGCTCAGTCTCAATCCGTATCGTCTATAGCCTGTTTGTGATAGTGGGATTGAGCCTGTGCAAACTGAATTTCTTCTTTGACAACCAGCTCCCAAGATCTACAAAAGGGGCATTAGGAAGCTGGGGTAGGAAGAAGGAACTCGTACCCTACTTCCTTTCTGTTGCTCATTCCCCGATGGCACTTCTTCACACAAGTATTAGTGGTCAATTCCAATGGCCTTAGTTGGTAATATTTTATAGTTTTTCAACACTTTTAGAACCAGCCTTACCATGTCCTCTTAAAGACCTCAGAATTAGCCAGGTAAGTCTCCCCTCAGCCCCATCTGAGAGGAGTAAGTTCTGGTAACAGGGGAAGCTCTATTCTGAATTCTTGAGACCCCAGCATCACCTAAACAGTGACCACTCCTCAAAGTCTGAGTTTCAGATTTGCAGCACTCCTCCTTCAAAATAGTAAGATTTGGAGGACTCAAGATGGCGCTGTGAGAACAACCCAGGATTGGAGCTCTCATTGATTCCGCAAAGAGGTGAGTCGGAGTTGCATTTCCAGACTGATCTTTGTTGCCCACAGAACGGGGAAACTCCCAAGTATAAAAAAGACACGGGACGCCAGGCAGTAGGTCTGCCTGGCGAAGCCGGCAGCCGGGGCAGCAGCGGCCGGCCCTACCCAGCAATCCCCACAGGGCGTGCTTGACTGGGTGCCCTGTTGAACCGGCAACCTGAGACTTGAGAGGGCTGGACTTGAGACTGAATGAGACTTGGACAGTAGGCCAGCCCAGGGGATTGCAGGGACAAAGCATTCGGGGTACCCAGTGGGATGAACAACACCGCGATTTCAAACTATCCCGGGCAAACGGTCCGAGACACTCTGTGGGGGAGAGGCGTCCACCATTACCGAGGCAACCCGCCCCAACTGAGATACACGCCCACTGCTGACGCAGCCAACCGTTGCCGAGGCAACCCGTCCCTACTGAGATACACGCCCACTGTGGATGCAGCCTCCCATTGCCAAGGCAACCCGTCCCAACTGAGATACACGCCCACTGCTGACACAGCCTGCCGTTGCCGAGGCAACACGCTACAATGAAGAGACTCCGCCGCTGGGCATGGCGGAGACCACAGCAGAGCCTGCAGGAACAGGGCGAATCACACAACAGCAGGGCGGAGACTCGGTAGGCAAAGAGTGGGTAGTCTGCCTCCTAGCTGGACAGGACACCTCAACGAACATCCAAAAATAAAGCCCAAACCCCCCAACACAGAGCATTTGAGAAAAAAAGGGTTTTTTTAATGAGCTCTGTTGCAGCAGAATCAAACATAGCAGCCTAACAGCCCTGAATGAACAACAGAGCTCACAGCTCAGAAATTGAGCTCCTAAAAAGAACAGACTGTCTCCACAAGCAGCTCCCTGACCCCTCTATATCCAAAAGACTGACATTTGGCAGGCATCATCCTGGGACAAAGATAGCAGAAAAAGAAACGGGTAGCATCCCTCACTGTGCCACAGCAGCTAGAGGTGCACCCCAGACAGCAGGGCCTGGAGTGGACCTCAGCAGTCATACAACGAAGGGGCTAGGCTGGTAGAAGGAAAACCAAGTAACAGAAATACTTCATCATCAACAATCTGGGTGTCCACTCAGAGACCCAATCGAAAAGTCAGCAACTACACATACGACAAGCGGACAAACCCACAAAGATGGGAAGAAACCAGCGAAAAAAGGAGGAAAACACCCGAAACCAGAACACCTCACCTCCTAGAAAGGACCAAAACTCCTCACCAGCAAGGGAACAAAGCTGGACAAAGAATGACTGTGATGAAATGATGGTATTAGACTTCAGAAGGTGGATAATGAGAAACTTTAGTGAGCTAAAAGAACATGTATTAAATCAATGCAAAGAAACTAAGGAACTTAAAAAAAGATATGAGGAAATGATAACAAGAATGGATAACTTAGAGAGGAATATGAATGAATTAAAAGAGCTGAAAAACACAATACGAGAACTTTGCGAAGCATGCACAAGTTTCAATAGCCGAATTGACCAAGCAGAAGAAAGAATATCTGAAGTCGAAGACCAACTCAATGAAATTAAACGAGAAACCAAGATTAGAGAAAAAGGCGCAAAAAGGAATGAACAAAGTCTCCAAGAAATGTGGGACTATGTGAAAAGACCTAACCTACGTTTGATAGGTGTACCAGAAGGAGACGAAGAGAATGAATCCAAGCTGGAAAATACTCTTCAGGACATCATCCAGGAAAACTTCCCCCACCTAGCAAGACAGGCCAACACTCAATTGGAGGAAATACAGAGAACACCACAAAGATATTCCGCAAGAAGAGCAACCCCAAGGCACAT